ACCTCCTGCTATGCAGGGTGATTAAAACAAAGTAACAGGGAAATTGAGGCTGGTTTGCAGGAAAATACAAACGCGGAAGGGTGGGCATGGTTGGTCGTATTTAGGTTAGGCCCCACGGAGAACAGTGGCATTTTAAAGTTGGACAGCTGGGTGGGGTGCACATGTCGATTGTCCCAGCTACCTCTGGGAGCTGAAGAGGAGAGATTCGCATGAGTGCCACGGGAGTCAGGGTTACCTACGGCTGGTGGTTCACCGCAACTGTACTCAGGGGCGGGAGTTTTGTTTGCTTTGTTTTACTGCTGGAATTCCAGCACCTGGAATAGTCCCTGGTACCTAGTAGGTGCTTAACCTACTGAATGGGAATCCTCCCGACACACACATCCATGGTACCTTGAAGTCAAACTGCACATCCATGTACTTCCCGAACCTGCTGGAGTTATCGTTTCGGAGGGTCTTGGCATTTCCAAAGGCCTAGGAGTGGACGGGGGTCTGAGGGACACCTGGCAGTCTCCTCCTGCCCTCCCCACCCCACCCTGTAGCTACTGCTGCCCCTCCCCTCCCACACTGGCCTCCTCTCCCGGCCCCTCCCCTCCCGCACTGGCCTCCTCTCCCTGCCCCTCCCCTCCCGCACTGGCCTTCTCTCTGGGTCCCTCACCTCCAGCACTGGGTTGCTCTGCAGCAGCCGGTCCCGCACAGCACCTCCGCGCTCGGGGGCTGGGCAGGTCTCTGCATAGAACTGTAGCAGCCTCTTGGTGGCCTCGGTCTTGCCTGCCCCACTCTCCCCAGAGATCATCACTGCCTGGTCCCGACGCTCTGTACGCAGTGCTCGGTATACAGTGTCGGCCACGGCAAACCTGGGGCAGAGGCTCGTCAGGGAGGGGGGCCAAGTGGAGCCCCACAGGCAGTCCCGCTCCCACGTCTGCGTGGCGTCCTCTCGTGAGTGGAAGTCTAATATACCCTTGAGGATGTATTGAGGATGGGGACTGGGGGTCCCTCGCAGGTGTGGACCATGGGAGATCTGTCACAGCTGAGAATGGGCGTCACTGCCAGCGGGAGGACTGAGATGATCTCATAGGTGGGAGTCTGGAGGTCACTTAGGTGGAGGCTGGAGTCACTCATAGGTAGGGTTGGGGGGGTCTTCGCAGGTGGGGTTCAGAGGTCACTAAGATTGGGGGGCCACTCCCAGTTGGGGTATGGACTGAGTCCCACCCAGATGGAGTTGAGTTGTGACACTCATCTATGGTCACTGGGGGGTGAGAAACTGTGGGATTCCTCACAGCTGTGGCGCAGGAGGTCAGGATCATTTTAGAGTAAGGGTTGGGTGGGGCCACTTCAGATGGAGACAGAGCGGTCGCTCCCGGAGGGGCTGGGGTCACTCACAGATGAGGGGGCACTTCATAGAAGCTGACGCCACGGTAACGCTCCATGTGCTGCCGGCTGTAGATCTGCAGGTCTCGGTAGGGGTTGACAGAGACCAGGACGGGGCCAATGTAGGTCTGGGGTTGGGGGAAGAGGGTCAAAAGTTGATCCCGGGCCAGGTGCAATGGCTCACGCCTGTAATCCCAGCACTTTGGGAGGCCGAGGCAGGCAGGTCACCTGAGGTTGGGAGTTCGAGACCAGCCTGACCAATATGGGGAAACCCCATCTCTACTAAAAATACAAAATTAGCCGGGCATGGTGGCGCATGCCTGTAGTCCCAGCTACTCTGGAGGCTGAGGCAGAATTGCTTGAACCGGGGAGGAGGAGGTTGCAGTGAGCCAAGATCGCGCCACTGCACTCCAGCCTGGGCAACAAGAGTGAAACTCCGTCTCAAACAACAAAAACAAGTTTATCCTGGTGACCCCTGGTGTCTCCTTCCCCTCTGCCCTGTGTCTGTGACCCCAGCACCCCTGCCATCTCCCCACAAGGGCCTCACATAGATGAGGTTCTCCCGAAACCGCCGCCGCAGGTTCTCGATAAAGGCGGCCTCGCTGGTGAAGTTCTCCAGCAGCACGAAATCCTGCACCCCCACCCGGTCACGGGCAGTCAGAGCACTCTCCATGGTCACCCGAACCCCGTCACTGCCCAGGGCCTGCAGAGAATGGGCCACAGAAGAGGGTCAGAGTCATGGGGGACCAGGCAAGGCCACTTCTCCTCCACTGCGCCTGTGGGACTGAGAGGGAACGCAGGGGCTTGTGGACTCAGGGCTGGACATGGGACATGAGCCTGATGGGTGCGGAAGGCCTGGGTGTGGAGGGCCTGGGTTTGGAGGGTCTGGGTGCGGTGGGCAGGGTGCAGAAAGCCGGGTGTGGAGGGCCTGGGTCCGGGTGTCGCGGCACCGGGATCACCGAGGCTGCGGGCACAGAACAGAGACCACATGAAGCACTTGGGTCCCGGTGTGTACACAGGGCGCGGACGCAAGCAGGACCAGAGGGCAGAATCTGGGAGGTGCTGGTTTTGGGTGGAGAAAGGAGCGGGTCACAAGAAGGAACTCCTTGAAATAGCAGAAAGACTGCTCTGTGGAGCTTGGACCAAGCCCCTCCTCTCTCTGGGCTGCTTCCTCCTCAAGGAGGAGGAGTTAGACCAGGTGACCTCAGGTCCCTTAGCTCTGAGCCACGTGTGACAGGTGCTTTGGAGGACAAATGGCTCAGGGTCAATTCCGCAGGCAGAGTGGGGCCGTCTCTCCCATCGGGACCCACCCACATCTCCACAGGTAGAGCGTCTCGCACCAAGGAAGAGGTCACTCCCAGACTACACCAGAGGGGTTCCCCCGAGGGCCTCCCACCCCAGCTGGGCTCAGCCACCCACTCCAGAAGGGGGGCCTCCCTCGCATGGCTGGGGCCACTCCCTTTCCTCCAGCTGCCGACCTCCCCAGGCGCCTCCTCCACTGAGTCCTGAGAAGCCTCAGGGGATGGGGGGTTTACCATGGAAAGCCCAGCTGCCTCTGGGTCCCACTGGAGGGCTCAGCAAGACCCTCGCCCCACAACCAGGTCTGAGATGGATCCCCCTCCAAACAGGGTCTCAGGGCTCCAGAAAACGGACACCCAGAGTATCCAGGGTCAGAGAAGAACAAGGTGGTGGTGACTGGGGGTGGATCCCAAAGGGGCCGCCGGGTGTCCTCGGACCACAAAAGGCCCAGATTCCCGGCCTGGGGCGTCACTCCGGGCCGGGCCGGGGGCCTGCCCCTCCCAGGCTTGTCCTCCCCGCCCCGCTCCAATCCCGCGCCCAAGCGGCTGCCAAATCCGGCCGCGGTCCCCGCCCCCTCGCCCTCGGGTCAGGGGTCTCCGCGTTCTCAGGCGTCCCCGGCAGCTCCTCGTCCGGCCCCCCGGGTCCGAGCGTCCCGCGCGGCCCTCCCCGCCTCGGCCTCCTCCCCCTACAACTTCCCGGGACGTTTTTCCACACGGAATTCCTGGGCCGCGCCCGCTTCCTGGCGAGGCCGAGGCGACGCCGCGAGGCGGGGAGGGGCGCCCGGGACCCTCCGCCCCGCCCTGCCCTGCCGCCCCCCGGCTCACCGACGCCCGGTAGCGCATCCTGCCCCGCCGGCCTGGCGCCCGCTCTGCTGCCCGCGCTCTGGGTCCCGGGCTCGGCGGCGGCGGCGTCAGCGAGGGAGGGCCCGCCCCCCGCACCGCCCCCACCAGGGCCCCTGAAGCGCGGGGCTTCCCCGGCCTCCCTCGCCTCCCACGCGGCCGGGCTGGGGTCTCCGCCAGGTGGGG